TATTTTAAATGTACTGGAAAAGGATTTTACAGTAACTATTTAAGAAAAAGAACTTTTTATAATTAAATTATAAAAATGAAAAATGTTTGCAATATTAGTAATTGGGTACCCATCTGTAAAGTAAGAATTTGCCCGATACCTATAATAATACAGAAATAGAAACAGATATCCATAGTGTAGAAAGGATAGTAGAGATTATATTCTCTAATACACATTCTTCAACCTTCTACCCAATCTTATCTTTTCAATCCTGGATAAAATGATGCACACTTTGCTAGATCAATTGTAATTTCATAGTTTCAGCTTGTATAGTCATGCACCATATAATGACATTTTTGTCAATGAGGGACAGTGTATGCAATACTGATCTCTTAAGATTATAATATGTATTTTTACTGTTCTGTTTTATCGTTTAGATACACACTTGCCATTGTGTTACAACTGCCTAAAGTGCTCAGTACAGTAATATGCTGCATGGTTTGTAGCTTAGCCTAGGAATGCTATACCACCCAGGTTTGTATAAGTACGCTCTGTGAGATTTGCATTACAAAACCTCCCAATGATGCATTTCTCGGAATGTATACCCATTAATAAGAGACACAAGACAGCAGCGAGCTAAATATTTTCACCTGCTTCTTCTAATCTGTCCCTCTTCAGCTAAGTTAAAATGTGTATATATACACACACCATCTATTGTCTTTCCTTTTTGACTTGTTTCCAAGGGCCTCACAATAAATATGCAAAATAGGTATTATTAATCCCATTTACAGACCTAAAAGTGGAAACTTAAAGATTTTTAAAACTTGGTCAAAATTACATGAGTCACAAGCTAGGACTCAAATTTAACCCATTTACTCCTTAGCACAATTATTTGACAACCAGTTAAAATTCTTTGGATCCTAAGTAACAGAAAATTCAGCACAAATTGACTTAAGGAAAAAAAAAATAAAGTTATAGCCTCATATGAGAGAACATAAAAGAACTAACAGTGGGCTTCACCTAACAGCGGGCAAACAATGTGATCAAGATGCAAATCTCTTCCTCTTTAGTGCTTGGTTTCACCAATGATGTTGTTTCTTTTTTCTCAAAATCTCTACATTTATGGTCTCAAGACAAATTTCTTCATTTTCTTTCTGTGAACAAGACAGTTTATATACCTGAGGAAGCAAGTCCTCAAACTGAGTCTGAAGAGCTTGGCTCAAATTATGTGTGCATTCTTGAAACATGGGGATGGAAAATAATTACTAGCCTATGTAAACAAGCAGCTATACGTAAATTAGAAAGCAGGTTAAATTTCCTCTAAACCACATCACTAAGAAAAAAACTATCATATTGGGAACAGAGTAATAGATGCTGAGGTGGTACAAATGAATGTCTCATTCTGATTTGGGAATGTCTCTTTTAAAACATGGTATCTGTAATTGAATGTAATGCTTCTGTTTGACCAGTGAAAGAGACTGCACTACTTTACTGTGGCCTAAAAATTCTACTTACACTCATGCAGCCATTCATCACTGTAGAGCAAGTGTATACTAGTTGTTCAAAGTAAACATTTTTCTGAAGCTGAAAGTAATTACCCTTGACCTCTTGGAGTATTTTCCAAGTATTTCATTGAGTAACAATGATAAAAATCAGTTCAGTTTGGCACCCAGCTGACAGTCTGATGAATGCTTCTTTAAAAAGGGGATTATAACATCTATAGCACTGTTTTAAATAACCCTAGTCCTGATTAAATATTCCAATTAAAAGCTACCATAACTCTAAGAGCCAAATTGTGTTGTTGGAGACCCAGTTGATTTTTCAAAGATTAGTATGTCTCCTTAAAACAGTGCTGGTCCTATATCATAACCTACTGCAGTCTGTGAAGACTCAGCTCCTCCTTTTAAGGTGTTTGTAATCTAGTGGAGAAGACACAGAAACAAGTCCTTTTATAATAATAGTATGGCTGAGCAATGGTTTAGTTATATACCGAATGCCTAAGAAGGGCACTTGATTTAATCTGGAAGGAGGAAAGAAAAGTTTTATGGAGGATAAAATTGATGAATTATCAAAGAAGAGTGGGTTTTACCAGTTGGGGGAATGCAATGGCATTCTGGGTTGATGATGCTCTATGAACCAAGGCCCAATACCATAAAATAGCACTCTATGTGTACCAGTCACTTGGTTCTAAAAGCATGAAATGTAAAACAGAGCAGCAGAAGATGAGGTAGACAGGTACAGAACAGATCAATGAAAGATATATATTTTATGCTAAGTAGTTTGAACTTTATTTTATAAGCCTCAGGGAGGCACTGAAGAATTTAAAGTGGGAGAATGACATCCAACTTGCTCCAAGTTGAAAAGCACAAAACTGGAGGTAAAGAAGTCTATATAGGATGTCAAGGTAAGCAATAAGAATATTACTTAAGACAATGGCAGCAGTTTGGAAGTAACTGTATATGTTTAAGGATTATTTTTACAGGTAAAATGAAAAGGTTCTGATAATTAAAAAGATGTGCAAATGAGGATAAAAGGGAAAATCTAGGATGAATTCTCATTCTCTGGATAATTTAAAATGTCATTATAACTTTATTATAAACTAGGTTACTATCAAACTATTGTAAATAAAAACTTTAAAATGAATGAATCAAAACTAAAGAGGTCACCATAGAAAAATTTCAGGGTTGTGAAACTAGCCTGCTAAGCTAAAATAGAAATGCTATTTCCTTTTTTAAAAGAAGGGTCAGGTGGCAGTACTAAATTTCTTAAGGAAAATTTAACCACTGATTGTAATGTCTGTGGCTTTTAGGGAAAACATAACCCCAAATTACAGTGGCTGTGGTTATAAACTGTTATGAAGAGCTTCCAATGTCAGACATAGTTTGAGTGTCTGTATGCCCTAGAGTTCTTTTACAAGACTTTGCTAGAACAGCAAAATTAATGACTATCCTCTTTTTGCCTGCTTTGGTGTCAATAACGTCCTTCCCTTAACAAAGACTTTTAAGTGACCCAGAATTAATTTAATATGAAAATCAATAAGCCAGGATCATAAATTTTTCTCTTATTACCTCAGAAAAAAGTACAATCTACAATCAGCATTAAGACAGACTTAACTTACGATCAAGGCCAAAGAAAAACATCTCTCAAGTGAGTTCTGAGAATTATCTACCACAATCCTTAGGTACTCTTGTTTTGTGTCATAGTTTAACATTTATCTTCTTAGTTAATGCCAGTACTAGCAGAGAGGAAATCCAGAGGTAAATTCTAAAGCAGAAGCTGATTTTTCCCTTTATATTTCTAAGTAATAATTTAGGCTGCTTAAGTTTCACAATGTTTTTGTGTTACCATACTAATATTTCCTAATTTCTACTGTGACTTACTAGACAAAGAAAGATATTAATTGTTGTTAATTATGGTTCATATTTAGTTTTCTTTCAGAAAACATTTGAGTGCTATGAAGTGACTTTAAAAATGACTTCCAAGCTTTTAAAAAGTCAGTTCCTTCAGTTTATAGTCAAAACAGTTTATAGGTCCCTGGAGAGTGGCTCTCTGGGCTCTATGTATTACCTAGAAGACAGAATAAGCACTGGCCTCTGCATCCAGGCAGAGGCTCAGCAGAAAGTGGCAGAAGCTGCTGTTCGTATTAATGACCTGAGCTTCCTATAAAGTCTGGATGAAGACCTGGCTACTCAATCATGGGCTACAGGGTGACACAGAAAGCACTAATAACTTTAACACTTTCATTATTTCATCTGAAGTACAACTGTTACATGTGAGACTATCTACAGTATTACACAGTTAATCTAAAGCAGCCATATTCTTCCTAGATAGAAGATGGACACATTCTATAAAAGAAAGTCATAGAACTCTATCCAGAAATTATTTTTTTATTTATTTGGCTTTAAATAACAACTATATGCTTATTAATCCAAAATTTCTATCTCCAGCCCTGACAGCTCCCCTGAATGCCATTTCTATATTTCTAACTGCCTACTCAACATTTCCTCTAGGATCACGAATAGGCCATCACACAATTAATACATAAATATTAGATTTTTAGCCCCATGAAACTTAATCTTTTCTCACCTTAGTAAAAGAAACCACATCCAAAATCACCAACCATCTAGTCAGTTATTCTGATAGTCATTTGTTTTTTTAAAAATCAGCTATATTAAGGTATTACATATAATAGTTTTCAGCAATATTATATGTGTAATTTGATAAGTATTGCCAAATGTAAGTGCTATCACAATCAAGATATAAAACATTACCACTGCCCTCAAAAAATTCCCCTGCCCCCCGTTATTGTATCTTCTACTGAAGTATCTTCTCTCATATCACTTTTGTCTTCTCTAGAATTTCATATAAATTGAATTACATGACACGTAAATTTACTGAGTTTGGTTTCTTTCCTAACTTTATTATCTAAAGAAATCTCCTATAACCATTCTTAGTTAAACATATAAACCAGAATTTTTTTCCTAGCCCACAGCACCACGTGGTACTCTCTTGCTTATCATAGCTCTTTCCCAACTTGGATGTAAACTCCATGAAAGCACAGGGGTCCTGTCTATCTTGTTTAATGTTGTGTGTCAGAAAAGTCTAACGGTGCCAATACATGGCAGATGCAATTTGAATCAAATTGTTTTCTATACAAATATATTATTTTGTATTGACTGAGTTTGTGTGCATGTGTGCGTGTGTGTCTGTTTATGAGAAAAATAAAAAAACACAGAAAGTTTAACGTATTTGCAATGACTAAACATACATTTGGTTCTGACCTTTCAGAAAATAAAGTAAAAGGGTAAAATGGTCAATTGCAGAGTTTTCAATACCAGAAAGATGAAAGTACATTAAAATATTAAAAATGATTAAGTAAAATATTAACATCAAAATGGAAAAATAAGAAGTCATAAATATCTACCAGGGTTGTTTTAAGTAAGATAAAAGATAAAGTAAGGGTACTTCATATTGAGAAAAATGAGAAAAAAAAGTAAATATTTACAGTTAATATTACTAACCTGACTTATTTTTCTTTGTTCTTGTATAGCTTTTTGAATTTCTTGAGATACTTTTTCTTGATCTTTTGCATGTTCTATCTTCCATAATTCCCTTTCTTCAGCATGGGCTTTTTCCAAATGTTTTCTTTCTTCTTCTATGGCTTTTAAAACTGCATCCTGCATTGCTTCTTTTTCAAGCTTCAAAATAAATAATTACCAGAATAAATTTGAAAGACTGCATTATAATTCCTTGTGTAACTCAGGCTTGGTTAACCTAAAAGATAAAAAAACTCTATCCTATAGTGTTTAGTTCTGACACTGCTGCTTTTAAGTAAACTAAATAACTGCTGTAAAATAAAATCTATTATTCTTTTCTATATAAATATTCCTGCTTAATTTCCATGGCATTTCTAATCTTCAAAGAAACCAAGCCTTAGCTTAAGTTGCAGATTTCAAACTATATGGTCTAAGGATTCCTTTACAATCTTAAAATTATTGAAGACATCAAAAGATTTTGTTTATGTTGGTCCTAGGTATTAATATGCACCATATTAGAAATTCATTTCAAGAAAAAACAAAATTATTAATTCATTTAAAATTAATATAATTGACTGCATTGATAACAATATATTTTATGAAAAATAATTACTTTCCAAAATTTTAAATGTGAGGAAAATGTCACTGCATGTGTCTGTAAACCTCTTTAATATCTGACTTAATAGATGACAGCTAAATTCTTATTTCTCCCTTCTGTGTTAAATCTGTAATGATGTTTTTTGGTTGAAGTATATAAAGAAAACCCAGTTTCACACAGATAGGTAGTAGGAAAAACCAAGTATTCAGTAGCCAGTTTAGATAACTGTAGATATTCTTGATGACTTCACATCAGAACTTGACAAGGGCTAGTTCTTAAAGGTTAGGTACAATAAGGAAAATGAAATTATGTCAAATGAAATTTTCATACTATTATATTACAGTCCTTTCTTGCACTTTGAATGAATCGTTCATTGATGTGTAATTTTTTAACATTTTTATGTGAAAAATATCATTTCATTGGGTTACATGTCTTCTCCAGATGATACATTTCTTTATATCATAACTAGAAAATCAAATTTGTTAATATTATCATAAATCTCATTAGGGAAGTATGTATTAGAAAACAGATATAAATTTTCAAAAGTTCTACTTTTTGCTTTAAATCACCCAAAGAAAGAGTACTATTTTCCATTTTGTTCCTAAATCATACTCTAGCAGTATACAACTTGGCCACCTTCAATATTATTCATATCAAGCAAATACATTGATTCCATCTTCTCCATATTTCTAGATTTTGACTATTTCTTTCCTTTCCAAGCTACTACTACTACTATGTTTTTACCACTCACTATCTCTTATCCAGAGTTTTGATGCATTCTATGAATTCTTTCCCTGCCTCTAGCTTTTGTTGCCTCTAATTTCCCAAAAGTTAATGTCAATTACCATTACAGCACAAACATGTTTTTAAAATGTCAATATGTCTCCCTTTCTATGGAATAAAATTCAAACTCTGTTCAGAATGCCAGCCACCCTTTCAGGCTCACTTCAAAAGTAATTTACTGTTTAAAAATTTCTATGACACAGATATATGATGTATATACTCAGCATAATTTAATGCATTCCTTCTTGCCCTCTTGGTATATAAATGATATTTTTCTTATATGATTATAAATTCTTTAAGAGAAAGACAAAATCACAGTCACCCCTGAATTTCCACCACTGGCACAGTGATACACAGATATGAGACATTCAATATTTGTTTGTTAAATTTAATTTTAAATCTAAAACTCAAAAGTGTTAGAAGTGTATTTGTTGGTGTGTGTATATTTTATATCTATGAACACATGATTTAGATAAGTTATTTTAAACTTGGCTTTAAAAATTACTTACCTTGATACACAGACACAGACACACACAACCTCTAAATAGATCTAACAAATACCAGGTGGATATTAGTGTCCCAACATATAAGTTCTTTAAACCAAGTAGTAATCTATATTGTAAAGCATTTCAATACTACCATATCTTGTGTAATGTGAATTTAATAAGAATATAGTCATATCTTAAGTTTAAAAGTAAATATAAGAAAAACATTGATTTTGGTGGAATGAAAAAATTACATAAATGTAGTTTGAGAATACTATTAGTACATTCAGTTTTTAAATACCACTTACTTACAAGCAACCCACTATTACAGATAGAAATACCTTTGCAGCAGATACTAATGCCTCTTTATTTCTTTGCCTTTCTTCCTCCAAACATTTTTCCAATATTTCCTGTCAATGATAAGACAGTTGGAAAGACATTAAATCTATTACTTGAGGTTGTTGAACACATTCTTTCTACACTGGGAGCGCAGTTAAAAGTATTACCTTCTGTTCTTGAGATTGCTGAATCAAAGCTTCCATTATTTTTTCTTTTAACAGTTCCTTCTCTGTATCTAGCATTTCAAGGAGCCTCTGATGCTACAAGGAAAGATAAGCAAATTATATTGTCTCTGAGACAGATGATCGATCAAAAAGGAGAGTGGCTGGTAGAATTCATTTGTCTGGTACTGAAGTACTTACTAAAGGAAAAAATGAGAAGTTCCCTAAAATGACGGCTTAGGAGAAAAAAAAAAACACACCGAATTCACCTTTCCACAATCAGCCAAGATACTTACATTTTTTTAGCCTCAAGTTCAACAGAAGATATGACATGAAATCTAACTTAAGAACAACTACTCAAAATTGAGAACTTAATCAGAAAATAATGACTTTTCCTAAATTAAATTTGAAAAAATTACTTCTAAAATTATTATTAACTTGCAGCAACAGAAGTAATTAGATAACTGAGAAACAAAAAAAAAATCGGCTTGATGAATAACTATCATCATAGATAATTTGTGTTCCAAGTAAGGCAAATTGTTAAAAAAAACTGAACGATTTTTGGACTTCCACCAAGATGGCCAAATAGGAACAGCTCCAGAGTGCAGTTCCCAGTGAGACTGACAGAGAAGGCAAGTGGTTGCTGCATTTCCAACTGAGGTACCAGGTTCATGTCAATAAGACTGGTTGGACAGTGGGTGTAGCCTAGGAAGGGCAAACCAAGGCATGACAAGGCATTACCTCACCCAGGAAGTGCAACTGGTCGGAGGACTCCCCTCCTACCCAACAGAGGCCATCGGGAACTTTTCCACTCTGGGACTCCAGTTCAGATACTGCACTTCTCCCAAGGTCTTTACAACCCACAAACCAGGAGATCCCCACCAGGCCAACATGCACTGCGAGTTACCAGCACAGATGGGAGTGGCCGTTCTGGTTGGTGCCATGGGTTATCAGCACAAATCTGGGTGGCTGTTTTGGCTGGCACCTGGAGCGACTGAGAGACAGAGTTTCCCACTCCCCAGAAAGATGGGGAACTGAAGGCAGGGGGCCAAGCGATATGGCTTGGCGGAGCCCACCCCCACAAAGAACAGAAAAATTAACCCCTCTGGCTTGACAGTTTCGCAGCCAGTACATTAATTCGAGCTTGAACCGGGATGATCCAACTCGCTGGAGGGAAGGGCATCCACCATTGCCGAGGAGGTTCTAACCTTACATGTGCAAACAAAAGCCAAAGGAAGTTTACATCTTAGCTGGACTGAGCCCATGGCAGCTCAGCAGCGCCTCTGCAGGCAAACTGTGACTAGACTTCCTCCTTGATGGATAGGGCATCTCTGAAAAACAGACAGCAGCACATGAGAGGCTTATAAATAAAACCCCACCTCCCGAGGAAAGAGCACCTGGGAAAAGGGCAACTGAGTTCTGCTGCAGCAGACGTAAACCTACCTGCTCAGCAGCTCTAAAGGGAGCAACAGAGCTCCCAGCATAGCACTTGAGCTATGATAAAGGACAGACTGCCTCCCTAAGTGGCTCCCTGACCCCCATATAACCAAAAAGACACCTCATACAGGAGAGCTCTGGCTCACATCTAGCGGGTATCCTTCTGGGATGAAGCTACCAGCGGAAAGAACAGGAAGCAATCCTTGCTGTTTTGCAGCCCCATGGGTGATTCCAAGGCAAGCAGGATCTGGAGTGGACCTCTAGCAGTCCTGCAGCAGAGGGGCCTGATTGTTACAAGGAAAACTAAAAAACCTAAAGAAATACAACATCAACAAAAAGGACATCCACTCAGAGAATCCATCCAAAAGTCACCAACTACAAAGACCACAGGTAGATAAATACATGAAGATGGGAACAAACCAGCACAAAAAGGATGAAAACACCAAAGACCAGAATGCCTCTCATCCTCCAAGGGATCACAACTCCTCACCAGTAAGGGAACAAAGCTAGATGGAGAATGAGTCTGATGAACTGACAGAAGCAGGCTTCAGAAGGTGGGCAATAACAAACTTCTCTGAGCTAAAAGAACATGTTCTAATCCAACACAAAGAAACTAAGAATCTTGAAAAAAGGTTAGAAGAAATGCTAACTAAAATGAACAGCTTAGAGAAGAATACAAACGACTTGATGGAGCTGAAAAACACAGCACGAGAACTTTGCGAAACATACACAAGTTTGAATAGCCTAATCAAGCAAGCAGAAGAAAAGATATCAGAGATTGAAGATCAACTCAATTAAATGAAACGAGAAGGCAAGATTAGAGAAAAAAGAGTAAGAAGAACAAAGCCCCCAAGAAATATGGTACTATGTGAAAAGATCTAACCTACTGGTGTACCTGAATGTGATGAGGAGAATGAACCCAAGCTGGAAAACACTCTCCAGATATTATCCGAGAGAATTTCCCCAACCTAGCAAGGCAGGCCAACATTCAAATCAAGGAAATACAGAGAACACCACAAAGATATTCCTCAACAAGAGCAACCCCAACGCATATAATCATCAGATTCACCAGGGTTGAAATGACGGAAAAAGTACTAAGGGAAGCCAGAGAGAAAGGTCAGGTTATCCACAAAGGGAAGCCCATCAGACTCACAGCAGATCTCTCTGGAGAAACCCTACAAGCCAGAAGAGAGTAGGGGCCAATATTCAACATTCTTAAAGAAAAGAACTTTCAACCCAGAATTTCATATCCAGCCAAACTAAGTTTCATAAGCAAAGGAGAAATAAAATCCTTTGTGGAGAAGCAATTGCTGAGAGATTTTGTCACCAACAGACCTCCCTATAAGAGCTCCTGAAGAAAGAAGTAAACGTGGAATGGAACAGTACCAGCCACTGCAAAAATGTACCAAATGGTAAAGACCATCGACAGAATGAAGAAGCTGTGTCAACTAACAGGCAAAACGAGGAGCAAATATCACAAAGGCAGGATCAAATTCACACATAACAATATTAATCTTAAATGTAAATGTCCTAAATGCCCCAATCAAAAGACACAGACTAGCAAATTGGATAAAAAGTCAACACCCATCGGTATGCTGTATTCAGGAGACCCATCTCTTCACACATAGACTCAAAATAAAGGGATGAAGGAAGATTTACCAAGCAAATGGAGAGCAAACAAAAGAAGGGGTTGTAAATCCTAGTCTCTGATAAAATGGACTTTAAAGATCAAAAGAGAAAAAGGAAGGCATTACATAGGTAAAAGGATCAATACAAAAAAGAGCTAACTATCCTAAATACATATGTACCCAATACAGGAGCACCCACATACATAAAGCAAGTTCTTCATGACCTACAAAGAGACTTAGACTCCCAATATAATAAAAGTGGGAGCCTTTAACACTCCGCTGTCAATATTAGATCAATGAGACAGAAAATTAACAAGGATATCCAGGACTTGAACACAGATCTGGGCCAAGTGGACCTAATAGACATTGATGGAACTATCAATCACAAGTCCATGGAATATACATTCTTCTCAGCACCACATCGCACTTACTCTAAAACTGACCATATAATTGGAAGTAAACCACTCCTCAGCAAACGCAAAAGAACGGAAATCATAACAAACAGTCTCTCGAACGACAGGGCAATCAAATTAGAACTAAGGATTAAGAAACTCACTCAAAAACACACAACTACATGGAAACTGAATAACCTGCTCCTGAATGACGATGGCATAAATAATGAAACGAAGGCAGAAATAAAGATGTTCTTTAAAACCAATGAGAATGAAAACACAATGTACCAGAATCTCTTTTTCAAAGAGGTTTAAGAAAGAGTCTAGAGGACACATTTAAAGCAGTGTCTAGAGGGAAATTTATAGCAATAAATGCCCACAGGAGAAGAAAAGAAAGATCTGAAATCAAAGCCCTATCATCAAAACTGAAAGAGCTAGAGGAGCAATATCAAACAAATTCAAACGCTAGCAGAAAATAAGAAATAACTAAGATTGAAGCAGAAATGAAGGCGACAGAGACACAAAAAACCCTTCAAAAAATCAATAAATCCAGGAGCTGTTTTGAAATGATCAACAGAATAGACCACTAGCCAGACTAATAGAAAAGAGAGAAGAATCGAATAGATGCAGTAAAAAATGATAAAGGGGATATCACCACCGATTCCACAGAAATACAAACTACCATCAGAGATTACTACCAACAACTCTATGCACACAAACCAGTAAATCTAGAACAAATGGATAAATTCCAGGACACTTCCACCCTCCCATGATTAAACCAGGAAGAAGTTAAATCCCTGAATAGACCAATAACAAGGTCTGAAGTTCAGGCAGTAATTAACAGCCTACCAATGAAAAAAAGTCCAGGTCTACATGGGTTCACAGCCGAATTCTACCAGATGTACAAAGACAAGATGGTACCCTTCCTTCTGAAACTATTTCAAACAACACAAAAAGAGGGAATCCACCCTAACTCATTTTATGAGAACAACGTCATCCTGATACCAAAACCTGGTGGAGACACAACTAAAAAAGAAAACTTCAAGCCAATATCCACGATGAACACAGATGCAAAAATATTCAATCAAATACTGGCAAACCAAATGTAACAACACATCAAAAAGCTTATCCATAATGACCAAGTAGGCTTCATCCCAAGGATGCAACACTGGTTCAACATATGCAAATTTATAAACAAAATACATCACATAAACAGAACAAAAGTCAAAAACCACATGATCATCTCAAAAGATGCAGACAAGACCTTCAACAAAATTCAGCAGCCCTTTATGCTAAAAACTCTCGATGTGGAGAAACAGGAACACTTTTACACTGTTTTTAAATTAGTTCAACCATTGTAGAAGACAGTGTGGAGATTCCTCAGGGACCTAGAAATAGAAATTCCATGTGACCCAGCAATCCCATTACTGGGTATATATCCAAAGGGTTGTAAGTCGTTCTATTATAAGGACACACACACACGTATGTTCATTGTGGCACTGTTTACAATACAAAGACCTGGAACCAACCCAAATGCCCATTGATGATAGACTGGACAAGAAAAATGAGGTACATACACACCATGGAATACTATGCAGCCAGAAAAAATTATGAGTTCGTATCCTTTGTAGGGACATGGATG